TAAAAAAATAGCGAAAAAAGTGTGTATCGATTGATTGAATTAAATATAAAGTCAAACCACACGAAGACATGACTCTCGTGTGGATAATAGTCGGCTCGAAGAAAGAAAAGACTATTCGCTCAATGCGTTTGTATATCAGAGTTAATAATAGTAGTTGTGATGAATTATATGCCATCAAAACAATTGCTAACAATAATTCAAATACAATGACGACTGACAAACACATAACCTCTTCGGTCAATGCGAGGCCCAAAAGCACTCGTACTCTCTCAACATCTAATACCGACCGACGCTTACAATACCATACCCAACACAACACATGAGATGACATTTTTGAATAAGTTTTCTCTCATTTTCCTCTCCATCCTCTGCTTTCCATTGCATTTCTCTCCCTATTCTGTGTCCGTCTCTCTGTTTCTCATCACATAATAGCGGCTATTATTCATTGAAACAAAAGACAGTCCCAAACAAAAAAGCAATGGAGAAATTAATTCAATTACAATCGCTAATCAAATGAACACAAAAAATTCAATTAAAAGCATTTATATTAATAGAAAAGCCAAAAGTGGTTGCCTTTCGATATAATTGAGTAGAGGTTTAGTTTAGCATAAAATCGAAATGAAATACTATAACAGTTTTTATAATTGAATTTGTATTTCGCGATAACTAGTATTGTATTTTTACATATTCTCTCTCTCTCTCTCTCTCTCTCCTTCTCCTCAAAATGCTGACTAAAAATTGAATACATTTTCATTCATACATAAACTGCTATTCTTTATATCCCAAAAAGATATATATAGTATATTAAACGAGTATTTGTTATATAATAATAATAGACAAAAAATGTTCGCCACTTATCTTGAAAAAGGAGTCAATTTTTTTCATTTTATGCCGGAATCAATACTTTTGACGTTTTCATCCAGAAATTGGGCCATAGATTGCCAGTCATTTGAATAGATTAGTGATAAGTGTTTAGTGTTTTCGTGGAATTAATAAATATTTTAATGTTATCTTTTAATATGAAAAACTATATGCATATAAATATCTGCATTGAAAGCGATAATAGTTTTTGAATATTTAATGCAAATATAATGAATGGCATAAATTTAAAATACTATTCAAACTGTCAATTAAAGTGTTGATAAGTTTTATGTTTAGCATGTATTTAATGCAATTTCATTTATATAGTATATCAATGGATTAGTTTCTAAATAAACAGAATATGTCTTCAAATAGTGAGTAAAATTTCATAAAAATAGTTATTTCAACAATAAATTCCTTTCGTTTCCTATTTTATATTCCAACAGAATATTCTGTTTAACAAATTTTCATTTAAAATCTGATATAAAACATACATTTTATTGTGAAATATATATAAAGATTTGCAAACAATAAATCAGACTTTTGAGCAAATGTTTTGCTGTATATAAAACTAATGTAATTATTACTAAACAATGTAAAAATATAATATAAATTATCGATGAAAATATCAAACAAATGTCAGTTTAGGTCAGATTAAGTCCAATACATTTATCGGCCGTTTCGATGGCAACAGCGGTTCTGATCTGATATATATAGACGTCGCCGTCTTCGGTGGTGTTGTCCACTTTCGAGGGCTGAAGAATCCAATAATTCAATACATTTGACGAGTGGTTGGAATCAACGGATGAAATACGAGCGCAAATATAATTCAATAGTCTTTCGACGAAATGCCACTTCGACTCGATCTGCAGCACCGCTTCCGGTGTGGCCCTCAGGAACAGCTCGGCGTTGTGGCCGAACAGCTGTGCCATCAGTTTCTTATGCTTATTGTCTTCGAGAATGAAAATGAATTTAAACACTAAAACACACGAACTTTGTTGACATTTGAGACAATTGAGGAGCAGTTTCTTGTCTTTGGAGGACTCGATGATAGATTCGATGAGCGGGTCATCAGTGATGGCGTGCCTTAAAGTGATCATTCGATGGCAGTCTTGATTAGTGCACAACACAGAGATCACGTCCCGCTTCTCACTCGATGGCAGATAATTAATGACACGAGCCTTCACTTTATACAAGTGTTTGTCCACTCCATCGCTGATCAACTCATCAATCAATATGTTTTTGAAGGGAATGTCGACGATATGGGAGACCGGAAGATAGCACTCGTTGTTCTCCAACTCATCGATCACTTCATGCAAATCCATCTCAAAGTCGGCCATATCTGAGAACATAGCGCTCTGATCGACGGCCGCCGGGAATGTCGATACGTCCTGACTGTCGGCCGGAAACGACTGCGAGAGTACGGCGTCTTCGATGGAAGGCGTGCCCACATTCACGGCTGACATCACTTTATACTCTTCTATCTTATCGTATAGTCTTTTGCCTATAGATTAAGAGCAGAAAAAACAATTCATATCTATTAAAACAATACATTTAGGAGTGATTTCTGGTGTAATACTTAAGTAAGCGTTTGGTTTCACAAAACGTATACATTTGCCGAAATGATAGCCAGAGTTAAGTGCATACATATAGAAGCCGTCCCTAAACCTGTCGGCCCTAACGCTCACATTAAACAGTACTATAAAGTCAAACGGTTTGATGGATTGGGCGTCGTTTGAGTGCTGTTCAAACACTGTCACTACAATTGACATCTGATTTTCATTAACAATACGAATCAATTCTTCTTCGGCGCTGTCGAGACCCATACCAGCGGTCGACACGTCTGAACGGAATGTCCTCAACGCCGGCGGCGTTGTGTCCCAAACGACTAATTCGGTTCTGTCTCGAGTTGTGGTCACGCGAAGCACTTGAACCGCGAGGTCTGCGTACAGATGATAATTAGTGGACGACTTCTTTTCGCTCAGACTGTCTGCGAGCAGATCGTCGGCAAACCACTGGTCGAGCTCTTCCTTGCGCTGCCTATCGAACGACTCAAACGTCGGCCGAACACTAGTATTGATCGGCGAAAAGCATTGCGAGTCTTGAAACGCCTCGAAGACCACCACATCTTTGGGATCACAACAGATAATATCCATACAATTGGGCGCCAGTAATACGCGATGTATTCGCACGATATCTCCCGGTCTGAACGCCGGGTAGTGACGGAAAGAGCTGTTCCCGGGCCTCAACTGTATGGTCGAAGTGAACGCCTTCTCATCCCTCAAATGAATGGTGTTTTTCTTAAAGTCCCGATACCTGAGGACACCATAGATGTGACAATAGGTCTTTCCACTCACTGGAAACAGATTGTGTACTTCGATCAGAGTCTTGTATTCGTGGCGTCTGTGACCACTCGTTGTGGGACTTCGAGTACTGGTGGACGGACTCGAGACGGGAACTCTTGTTATAGTCGTCACACAATTGCCGCGATTACTGTTTGGATTTCGTGGCGAAAGACATGTCTGTCTATTATTAGTCGACTTCTTGTTAGCGCTCTCTTTCCTCTTCCTCTGAGTGGCCGTCAATCCGGTGTCAAAGTCTTCGTCGGACGTGAAATCAGAGCCCAACTCGTCGTCATTTGAAGCAAATCTAAGCCTCTTTTTGGCCGAAAGCGTGTTTTTGGCCGACTTCGCCATCTTTTGCTCATCTGTTGCCGTTTGAGTGACACTCGCGTCGGTGTTGTCCTCGTGATGGCTATCAATCGTTGCGTCCGTTTGGTTGTCTTCGGGAAAGGAGTCGCTGTCGGCGATGGCAGTGAACGGCTCTTCACGAAGACTGACCAACCATTTGATGGTCGGCTCGAACTCCGCTTTCACCACAACTAACGGCTCGAAGAAGTTGTCGAAAATACGTCCGTTCGCTAAGACATCGGCAAAAGAGATAAACAGTGAATGCAATGCACTCTAAAGTGAATAATAAAGTGGACATACATTTGAACACTTTATTCTTCGGCATTACACTCGTCTCGAATCGGTATAACGTAAACACTTGTCCCGTCTTCAGCGGTGACTTCTTGAACGGTGTCTTCGCGTACGAGCCGTAGAAGACTATCACGAGATATGTGTCGACAGCAGTGGGCGGACAGTCGTGTTGTCGTTGTTGTGATTGTGGTGTGGATGGCGTCGAGTGTTGCGAACAATCGGTGGTAATCACAATCCGCTTGCATTTGGGATCTCCTTCGCGGCCGTCGAGCGGACAGAAGTGAATGACTTTGAGCTTAAGTTTGTTGTCATAGTATTTGTTGTAAGCCTTTAGCGACTGAGCGCTTATAATCACCATATCGTCGATATGGAGACCACACTCTCTTGCGGTGATGTATGGATCCACTAATGGTGACAATCACTCAATCACTGCTAACTAATGCACTCTTCACTGCAATCGTCTGTTTGTGTTTCGCATTCAATGTGTTTTGACGTCAAAAACGTTGTCATAAATGAAAGCCTTATGTGAGCTATGATTGCATTGAAGTGAACGCAAACCCCCTTCTCGTCACTCAAACCCCACTCCCTATACATTGAGCCGTACTTTACGTTCACTAATAGGCTATTATTTTGATGAGAAATGCAGTTTTGGCGCCACTTTTACTGCACTACCTCTGTATCGATCACCACATCTGATCCAACCATCTCTTAGGCGACCACCGCTTAACGCACGTGTCATTCATAACCATTTTAATGATAAATTCATACAAAAGTTACCGTTAATTATAGTTATATGTAATGAATTAATAGACAACACAATTGAATAGGCATTTCATTTGCAAACTACTTGTCCATCAAATACTCGGCTCCCGATTGGTTGCCCAACGGATCCGATCGGACAGTACGGATCGGCTAACGAGTGGTCACACATAAAAATAGTTTGTTTTTTTATAAATAAAGTTTTTATTATTGAATGGAAAACTGTTTTTTGCTGCGAAATGAAGTCGAGCTCAAGACTCGGCCGCCGGTCAACACGACCCGAGTCTCGCCCGGAAAAAAGGCAACGAATGAATCGGACGGAAGGCCCGCGTTGTCCACCGCAGCGCACAGTCGCTGCCGGGGCTCCAGAAAGGGCTCGTCTGTCAGCGCGAATGTCCCCCAATGTATGGCCAGAGAGAACATGGACTGAACGTCTTGATGGATGAGAACCGCTTCCTCCGGTTCGACGGCGTGACAGCGGTGTAGACTTCGCGGTTCGTACGCACCGATAGGTATGGCTGAGGCGCTGAACGGGCCGTAAAGGCGGCCGATTTGCCGAAAGGCGTCGCAATAGCCGGTGTCGCCCGCGAAGAAGAACCGCTGCTTCGGCCCAATCACAGCCCATCCGCCCCACAGCGCGCGGTTGTCGTCCGTCAGCGTCCGGCGGCTCCAGTGTTGGGCCGGAAGGAAGACAAATGACACTAAAAATGCAGACATTATTAGGGGATTAGAACCGTTAGGAGGAATGGATGAGTGAAAAAGAGGTGACAGACCATCGCTCTTGTCGGGCACGTGTCCCTCTTGCCACCACTCCAGCTCTACACAGTTCTCCACTCCCAGTGCGCGCATCCATTGGCCTGAATTGATGGACACAAGAGTTAGAAGAGCGACAATTCAATCACTTAATGGTTTGTAGAGAAACACTGACCCAAACCCGAAGGGACGAAGAATCGGAGATCAGCGCCAAAGCGTGCGTTGAGAACCAGAATGGAGTTGCGGTCCAAATGGTCGTAATGGGCGTGAGATATGACCACTGCGTCCAAGTTTTCGGGCAAATCGTGTAACTATTGGAAAAAACAGCAATTGGTTAAGTGTTTGGGGTTTGAATGGCTTTAGTGGACACAAGTGGCCATTGCCTTACACTGCAGGGAGGGTTTCGGTAACGTTTTGGTCCGATTGCTTGCGAAGGGGACGCCCTTTCGCTGAACATGGGATCCGTTAGCACTGATATGCCGTCAAAACGCACCAACACTGACGAGTGGCCCAACCAAGTGATGGCCAAACCGTCGTCCGGCGGAACCGATGCCTTGAAGTCGGGCTCGAGTACGGGTAGAGTGCGGTCGAGCTCTTGTTTGGAGGGGATCTTCGCGTGTCGTCCGAAGCGCAACAGATTGAAGGCAAGAGAGGGCGCGTCCCAAGTGGGCCACGGGTTGTGGTATTTGCCGTTTGAGCGCAACGGGTGTCTCACGTCGAGACGGCGGACAACGGAATCGCGTTTCACAAGCGATTCCGTCTCCAGAGAGGACAGCGAAGACACTTCGGACGGAGGCTCTGAGCAAACGCTGCGTTGCGGCGGATCCGCTCGTTCCGAGTCGTACGTGTGCTTATCCTATGGGAACAGATAGAGACAGACAGTGAGTGAGTGAGTGGCAGAGTCTTCGGGGCCCACATCTGGTCATACCTTTCCGGACGAACACACGATTGACGTCCGGCTGACGGTTGGGCGCGACATCAGTCACGTGACAACTCTATGCAGAGGGCGTCTGAAGGGCGTTGTGTGGGGGCAGTGGAGGGCCAGACAATCCCCGCCACCCAATGGCCTCACGAGTCACCCAAACAACTGGTCACTGATCGCCGAACGGCTCGAAACGGCAACTCCTGTGCGGACTCATCGCTGGCGTAAAAAAACTTGCCATAAAAGGGGCGAAATCTATGCGTAACGTTGTTTGTGACGAACCCTTTCGCTGCATCGATCGAGTCATTCGCAAAGCACGTGACAAATGGCGACCAAAATACTGAGTTTTGCGACCAAAGCGTTGCGAAGACGGGAAGCGCTGGCCATCCGTCTCGCCTCACACTCGGCGGCCGTACTCTCACGTCCGGCACAACTCACAGAACTCGGGAATGGCATCCGTGTGGCCACCGAAGACATGGGCGGCGCCACCGCTGCCATCGATGTCTGCATTGAAAGCGGTTCCCGCTATGAGCCGCGACACCATTCACCTCACACTCCGCTGTTTGGCCACTGATGTCGCGAAAGGCATTGAGATTATGGGCCGATTGGTATCGGTTCCCGACTTCTCCAACATCGAGAACGCACGCAATCGTGTCTTCAGAGAGATGGCGGCCACCGATGCAGACAACGAGGCGGTAGTGATGAACGGTTTGCACGCAATGGCCTTTCAAAACACTTCACTCGCACTGCCAGTCATCGGTCGCTCGGAGTCGTTGTCCCAATTGACTCAAGAGGACTGTCAAAACTATGTCAACACTCACTTCAAGGGACCCCGGATTGTGGTCGCAGTGGCCGGTGATGTGCATCACGACGACGCGTAAGTACAAGGGTTTGCATTTTGATGAACTGATTCCTGTTATTGTAACCAATGATTTGTCTCAATATATAGCGTGAAGAGTGTGGACAAGAGTTTTAGCAAAATAACGAGTCTTTACGACAAATCAGAGATTCCTATTCTTCCGCGGACTCGATATACCGGTTCAGACATCCGTATTCGTGACGACGCCATGCCTTTGGCTCACATCGTTCTGGCAGTGGAGGGCGCGCCGCGAGATTCAAACGATGCCATTGCTCTTAATCTGGCCTCAGAGGTGAGTCTGCTGTACATCACGTGTAGGTTTCGTAACAGTTCTCTCCCGGTGTGTGACAGCTGTTCGGCTCGTGGGACAGGAGCCACGGCGGCGGCGGTGATACTTCATCCTATTTGGGCATCTGTTCCGCTGTTGACAACACAACACACGGTTTCCGGTCGTTCAACATCTCGTACGCCGACACCGGACTCTTCGGCGCGTATTTCGTTGTGGAGCGCATGAAACAGGAGGACGTCTTATGGCACACGACCTACGAATGGAAGCGCTATTGCATGGAAATCACCGACAATGAGCTGAATCGGGGCAAGAATTCACTGGTGACCAAAATCATGCGCAACAACGAGACGCCGACCGCAGTGGCCAACAACACGAGCGCCGAAGTGCTCACATTCGGCCGTCGCGTACCGTTGGGCGAGTGGCGCGACCGAGTGCTCGGTCTGAAGGCCGCCCGTATGCGCGACATCTGTACGGAACACATTTGGGACAGATGTCCGGTCGTGTCGTGTATCGGACCCATTGAACAGTTCGAAGACTACGAGGTGGTGAGAGGCAAATTCAGCTGGGTTAGATATTAGACACCCAATTATAAGTTATAAAATAAATTAGTTGTGATTATAATTATAAAATAAATTGTTTTATTGAAAATGAAAATGTAATTGTAATGTGTTTTAAAGTTTTAAATAAATCCAAATTTTCTGTTATCGTCGCCAATGTCTGCCCGAATCATAGCTTCTGTCGTATCGGCGCTCGTCATACCGTCGGTCCTCATATCGGGATTGGTTTGAGTGATAATTGTTTCCCTCATATGAGCGATGGTTTTGTTGGTGATTATGGGACCGATAATTGTTGTCATACTGTGAGCGTTGATTGTATTGATTATGCGAGCGATGGTTCTGCGACTCGTGTGAGCGATGGTGTGTCGGAGGCGTCGGTCGGGAAGTGTTGGGAGGATTGGGCATGAATTGGCAGAAGAAGTCCGGGTTTTGATACATTACTTGATTGAATTGTTTGATTGCGTCCACGAATTGGTAATAACTCTGTGTTAGACAGAGAGGAATAACAATTAGTGAAGGTATTAACAATAGGAGAGGCAGTGATCAACACTCACGTTGTCGTATCTGAGTTTGGGTTCTATACACAAGGGTTTGCGGTAAAGAGAAATGTCACTCAAGAGGGCCCTAAAGAAGTAAATAAGAGTTCATAAAGAAGGACAACAAAAGTGGTAACAATAGTCACTGACAGCGCGTACGCCACAGATATCTTGTGCTCGAACTCAATGAACGCGAAGTCCGTCCTTAAGACCACATTCACCACCTGTTGGTCCGGAAGCGAGAGATAAGTGGACGACAAAGACATAGAATGGGAGACAACGAAGAAGTACTTACGGGTCCGGCCTTTAAGAGAGTGAAAAGACATGGATTTAGAGACAAATGTAAATGAATGGCAAAATGTATGGCAGACCTGAACGAAGAGTTCCCGCAACAGATCCCGAGTGACGCGATCGTCAAATCCGCGGACGACCTAATGGTAAGTGAGATAATGGTTTGGGATCAGCAAAAAGTGGTCAACACTTGTGGACATCGCTTACGAGAGTCCGCTCTTCTAACGACATGTTTTGCACGTTATTTATGGCCACAAAACAAGACATCACTTATGGATGAATTGCAACAACAGATGACATCAGAGATAAACAACACTTGAAATCACTCGAAGAACCCGTTTTTGTCTCCAAATTGTCTTAAATTTACCACTTTTTATGACATCTGTATTGACTTCTTAGACGTGTCGGTCGTTGACGTGTGTGTCGATCGCCCGATGAATTGAATTGATCCCAAGATCACCCATCGGTAGCCACTCATCACACGGTGTGCTCAATGAGCAGCCAATCGGCCGAAGAGTCGTCGGCCGGCGACGACTTGTCCAACGGTTTGGATGCGATGCGAGTCCAGTGCCGAGCGGTCGGCGCCACCGCTTTGGATGTGTTGGTGATGTCAGAGTCGGGTAAACCTGTCTATTGTTACTCCAGACGCGAAGACTGGATCACATTAACGGGCGTTTGTGTGGCGCTAATCCATGTGACCGATAGTGTCCACAACGACACCATTCGCCACATTCAGACCGCTTCCGGACTGAAGATCACATTCTCTCATAAGTCACCACTCATTATATGTCTGGTCTATCGGATCAATACAGGCATCGACTCGTCGATTGTCATCAATCAAGTGAACGCACAGATCATATCCATTCTCACGGCGAAGACACTGAAGTCGGTCTTTGAACAAAGACAGACATTCGACTTAAAGAGACTACTATCAGGTCATTATCACACTCACCATCGGATCCGTGTATCGCTTGTTATTGATAACTGTTTTTGATTATTCCTCTGCAATGAATAGGAAGCGAGAAACTGATCGACACATTGATTGACGTGATATTGACTCCAATCGATGCCAACAAATGTGATCAACAAATGGCCAAAAGTCACAATAAGCCGAATCAAGTGAACGCGTACTTGACTTCGTCGACGACCACATTCCGCACGATTAACACCCAATCGGTGGTCAACACCCGGAACCACATCACGGGTCGCGCCTATATTCCCGTCCGCCTTCTCTCCACATCACTGCGCGAATCCGTTTACAATATCATCACTTCGTGCGCCTCTTCGGCGCCGAACGTTGTCTTCAGTTTACTCTTCTCTGTGGACAAGAGAGCGCCCAAAGAAAACGATAACACATTCAACAACAATGAAATCCAATTAATACTCGTCTGTAATCACAACTCGAAGGCCAGAATCAACGCATTGGACATACAATTGATCTATTCGTTGGTAATCGCGTCGGAGTCCCAGTTATCGTC